GTCGACTACGTGGGAGTCCAACGACATAGCCATTACACTAACTGCTGGTCCCAGTTTTTTCTTTCTCCCACAAAGGAAATAAAGTTTTAAAAGGCAAAAAACACAGCCATTTAAAATTTTTTGTTGTCGTTTTATTTAAGGAGTGTGTGCACTTGCACATGTGCATGTGAAAGAGAAAGTAAAAAAGCACCCCCCACAGGGAATGTCACACTGTAATCCCTTCTCCATTCTGCTTTTGGGATTTGGGGCACACATGCACATGCAGCTAGTGTCTTTTTCAAGCTGCTGGGTCCAGGACTTGAACTGCACAGCTGGCCATGTGGAATTCAGCCACAACCACCAAGCCACCTGCTGACCCCAATATTTAAAATACTTTAACTAGAAGAAAAGCAGGATGGTGAAGACTTTAGCAAAAACTGAAGGCTAGTGCTGAGGCAGGAGAGTCCTGCTGGGAGGCTGCAGGCCTCGACTGAGACAACTAATGGGTGCCAGAGGTCTTCTGCCATTTCCAAATCTGCTGTCCCATGTATCAATGGTTTGATCTGGCAGGATTTTTTTTTTTTAAAGAGGATTTTGCCATAGGGCACACGTGCTGGGGGAAAGGGGAGACAGAGACAGAAAGAGGAAGAATGAGAATTCTCCCCAGGGTGGTGGCCATGCTGCAGTCCTTCTCTGTCATTCTCCCAGGATCTTGGGCATGTGTACACAGGCATCTGGTGTGAGTTACAAGCCATCAGGTCTCGAACTTGAACCATGGTTGGGCATGTGGGAATCCAACGATGATATATATATATATATATATACACACACACACACATATAAACACACACACGTATATGTGTGTGTGTGTGAGCTATACAAACACTATGTATTTATTTTTCTAAAGATGGGACAAGAGAGAAGATCATAGGGTGAAAGGAAGAAGCACACATCAACTGAAATTCAAACTATACAACAGCAAACGGATAGGTTAAGTAGTTTTATTGGTAGGCCCACAACTAACTTACCTATTCCAGAGTGGGTTTCAGGCCAATGACTTGTCAACATGAAGTACTTTAACAATACAACTAATTTGGAGCTCCAAATGTCTTTAAAGCGTTGGAGCTTTGGTCTGTTGAAGGGTCACTGTGTGCGAAAAGTACCATTCAGCCCAGTGCTACTCCAAGTGGTCCGAGGCCTGGTGGCAGCAAGAGCATCACTGTGAGGGTTGTTAGGATGCAGGTTCTCCAGTCCTACTCCTGAGCTATGGAATGACTCACTGAAGGTGGGGCCCAGCCCTCTGTTTTGACAAGGTCTCCAGATGATTCTTTGGTGCACTCAAGTTTGCCAAGCACTGACTTAGATCCTCAGTCGTCAAACTGCAGATTACGATCCATTAGTGGGTTGTGAAATCAATTCAGTGGGCAGGACTAGCGTTTTGCAAAAGCAACATAGAGCAGAATAGAAAATGGAGTGTACCCCATGTCACATGGGTACTGTCTCACAGCACTTGTTTCAGTTCATCGAATGCTGGTGTGTATACCCTTATATTGACTTGGGTGAAGTAGCACTTTTAATTTTTGAAGAATTTATAGGGGATAATAAGGAAGCATCAATTGTTAAATGAAGTCAGAACTGTTTCTTTGACAATAAACCCAGATAGCTTTAGGTAGATTGCCATCAGGAGTGACAGAGGGTTGAGGAGAAAGGATAGAAAATCAAAGAAGGAACGTTGAAGGCTAACATTCATTTCTCCATAATCTGCATGAGGAAAGAAACAAAATACATTACAGGGCAGGAGGCGGAAGGGGCACCCACCACAAGGGAGATATCAAAAGGAATGAGTTTAGGAGTGACTTTCAAGAGAGAACCATCTCAGTAGGACTGATGAAGATGCATACATGCACCCATTCCATCGCCCACAGAACATCCATAGTGCTGTCAAAGGTGCCAGGCACTGTGTTAGGCATTGGGACTGGAGAGGAGAAATCTATGATGGAGTACACTGCTGGGCGACAAGCAAGAAGTATAATAATAATAGCAGAACATGATTAGTGATACAAACAAGGTATTATATAGCCCTGAGTGGGAACATGGAAGTCAGTCTTGGGATGATGGGATTGGGGATGAGTGACAGGAGACATCTGTATGGAAAAGTGCTTAATCAAAATGATGACCACATCACGATATTCCATATGAAAGCATTGAATAGCTTCATTTCTTCTTGGTGTGTGCATACATGACATCTGTCTATACTGCTATCCTTCACTTGCTTAAAAACTTGATTCCCATATGAAAATCATTTCATAAGACTTTGCAAATATGGAAAAAGAAGGCAAGGTATTTATTTCTGAAGTTCCTACAAAACACCACTTGCTATTATTTTCTCACAGAGGACATGTTATGTAGGCATTTTTAAAATGGCAGAGTCAGCGCAGTTGTCCCCTGAACACCCAGAGCATGTTCTGCCACCAAGATCTTACATCACAGCTAGGAATGCATTGAGAATCCTATTAAATTCCACTTCACAAAATTAGATTTTAAAATTCCAGTATCCTCGGGATTTAATCCAACTATTCCAGGTAAGGAATCCAAAGTCAAAAAAGTAAAATAATTTGCTCATTGCAAATAATTTATTGTAGCTCAGTGTTGAACCTAGACGCCAGCTCTCCAACCCGATGCCCCTCGGATTTTGCCAGGTCACTGAAGTTCAGGCTGGATCATCCTTCGCTCTTCCAGCTCTGCGCTATCTCCTGGGCCAGAGTGCTTTATGGGATCGGTCTCATTCAGATCAAGTTAGCTTCTGCCTTTTATGTTATGGCCTTTGTTTATGCGGTTCTCTGCCTTTCATGATCAGCATTGCAAGAGCTGCATGGTTTTGTTGTTGTTTTAAAATCAGAGTGTGTAACACCAAGGAGAAGAGTAACACCCCCCGCCCCCAACAGAATGGGACACAGGACGCAGCTATTAACACACGCACGCACGCACCGCCAAGAAAAGGTGAAGGGGACACTGGCTCTTCTAGAGCACACGGACCACGTGCAAGAGATGGGGCTGCATCTTGGTTGGCACCCTTAGGGGCTCTGTCGCTCCAATCCACACAAACCCTGCGGCGGGGGAAGGGCGCGCCCCCACTGGAGGGCGGGGCCAGCGACCTGTCCATCACCGAGTCCACGGATGGCAGCACCTACTACACCGCCTTACCTAGGCTGGGCGGGGCCGGGGCGGGTA